GACAGTGCTGCAATGAACATGGGTGTGCGTATATCTATTTGTGTGATGGCTCTTATTTCTCTAGGATATATTCCAAGGAGCGGGATTGCTGGATTGTATGGTACTTCTATTTCTAGCTTTTTAAGGAGGCGCCAAATTGATTTCCAAAGTGCTTTTACCATTTTACATTCCCACCAGCAGTGTAAAAATGTTCCAGTCTCTCCACACCCTCTCCAGCATTTACTGTTTTGTGTTTTTTGGATTAATGCTAGCCTTGTTGGAGTGAGATGATATTTCATTGTAGTTTGGATCTGCATTTCTCTAATGGCTAATGATCGTGAGCATTTCTTCATGTGTCTGTTAGCTGCCTGAGTATCTTCTTTGGCGAAGTCCCTGTTTTTTAATTGGGTTATTTGTCTTTTTGTTGTTGAGGTTTTGCAGTGTCTTGTATATTTTAGAGATTAAACGCCAGTCGGATTTGTTGTAGCCGAAAAATTTTTCCCAGTCTGTAGGTTGTCTTTTTACTCTTTTGGTGAAGTCTTTTCATGAGCATAAGTGTTTGATTTTTAGGAGCTTCAGTTTACCTGGTCTCTCTTCTGGTGCTTGTGCATTGTTACTTATGGTTCGTATTTTGTTTATGCCATGTATGAGGGCTCCTAGCGTTGTCCGTAGTTTTTCTTCCATGATCTTTATTGTTTTCAATTTCATATTTAAGTCTTTGATCCATTTTAAGTTAGTTTTTGTGCATGATGTGAGGTATGGGTCTTGTTTCTGTTTTCTGCAGATGGATATCTAGTTATGCCAGTACCATTTGTTAAAGAGACTGTCTTTTCCCCAATTAACGGACTTTGAGGCTTTGTCAAATATCAGCTACTCATAGATGGATGAATTTATGTCTGGATTCTTCATTCTGTTCCATTGGTCTATGTGTCTGTTGTTGTACCAGTACCAGGCTGTTTTGACTACTGTGGCGGTCTAATAGGTTCTAAAATCAGGTAGTGTGAGGCATTCCACTTTGCTCCTCTAGAGTAAATGGTTTGTTTGGGGCCTCTTCCCTTTCCATATGAAGTTGGTGATTTGTTTCGCCATCTCATTAAAAAATGCCATTGGAATTTGGATCCGGATTGCATTGTATCTGTAGATCGCTTTGGGTAGAACTTACATTTTCACAATGTTGAGTGTACCTATCCATGAGCAAGGTATGTTTTTCCACTTAAGTGCAGATCTCTTTTGGTTTTTTGCAGTAGCATCTTGTAGTTTTCATTGTATAGGTCTTTTACATCTCTGGTTAGATTTATCCCTAAGTATTTTATCTTCTTGGGCGCTATCATAAATGGTATTGATTTGATGATTTCCTCTTTGAGGTTCTCTTTGTTGGTGTAAAGGAATCCAACTGATTTTTGTATGTTTATCTTGTATTGTGAAACTTTGCTGAAATCTTCTATGAGTTCCAGTAGTTTTCTTGTGGATTCTTTGGGGTTTTCTGTGTATAAGATCATATCATCTGCAAATAGAGATACTTTATCTTCTTCCCTACTAATT